GGAACTGGATATCCGAGGGCCTTGAAGCCAGGCAGAAGAGTTTGAACTTCATGTGGTGGGCAGTAGGCAGCCAGTATAGGTTCTTGATCTAAGGAGTTAGTATGGTGAACATTTGTCCTAGGAAGAGTAGTCTGAGAATGGTGTCCAGGATGAATTAAAGCAGCATTAGCATCATCTGGGAACTTGTTAATAAGGAACTTTTTTTGTGTCCACCCCAGGCCTACTGAATTAGAAAGTCTGGGTGGGGTCCAGCATTCTGTTTTAACAAGCCCTTCAGATGATTCCAGTGCACACTGAAGTTTGAGAACAGCTCAATGAAAGAGTAGTCAGGAAGGCATTTTTGGAGACGGTTTCAGAATTCAGATAATAGTCTCGATTAATAAGTGATAAGAGAATTAATGCAGTGGCAGTAGAAATGGAGAACAAGTGACTCCAAGAGATGTTTGGGAGAAGTTCTGGTCTTGAGATAAGGGTTGCTCTCCTGGTCCTTTCCAACAGAACGTAATATAACTCAGGTGTTCTGTGGAGAGGGGTTAATTCCATGTGAACATCTTAGTAAACCACTTAGGAGGCTTGAGTTCACTGGGTTTTGAAGTGCTGAGCCTCACTTTTGTTTTTCCCTGTAGCTGGGGCATTTAAAATGTATCTGCCCAGTTGACAGTGTGGCCAGCTGAGATGCAGGCGTGATTGGCTGTTTTGCAAGGGGACAAGTATCTGTTCTCAGCCGATTTCCTGATAATGAAAGATAAGCCCTGTTCTTAGAATGGGTGGGAGTGAAGATTGCCAGAACAGGTGAGAAACTGGAAAACCTAATAGGTTCTGGGAGGGGTAATTAGAAAGTGAGTGGGGATTTCCGAGTCAGTGTATTTCCTTTTGTTCTTAGGATACAATCCACGCTCTCTACCATTAAGGTTTCTGGCTTCTGCCTCCCTTTTGTCCTCATTTTCTCCCTCTCCCTGTCTTGATTACCATATTCCCAGCATTGACCCTTCTCCCCCAACCTAGCTCCATTTGATAGGATTTGGATGTCACCTTTTTGGAGAGCTTTCCATGACCATCCTCATTAATGTGCCTCATCCCTGCCTCCTCGCCCAAACCAGGTTTTGTGCCAGAGTACTTATCCCAGTCTGAGATGATCTTATTCAGTTGTTGGTTTGCTAAAGTTTGCATCCTGCCCCCACCATGCTCACCCCCTCAGAAAAGAAAAAAAAGAATGAAAGCTTCTTAAGAGCCCAGAATCCTGTGTGCCTTGTTCAATGCCCTATTCCCAGCACCAATATTAAATTGAATGAACTTTAAGTAAAGATTTGATTAGGGTGGGGTGTGGGGGTAGGTAATGGATCTGCAGACACCAGGCAACAGATGATGGCTAACTTGGCCTAGATTGGTGGTGGTGGAGATGAAATTGGATAAATTCAAGACATGTTCAGGAGGTAAAACTGACAAAATTTGGTGATGATTTGATACAGGAGGTATCAAACAACTTTCCTGTGAAAAATCTTCCTGTGAGAAGTTTGTGAACTCATAGCATTCTTCTATGACCTCTTTATTTACTGGAAACTTAAGGGCAGAGTTCTATACCTAGAGGAGAGGTGATCTCAAACTGTAGGTATGAAGAATTCTCTGTTTCTACCCAGAGCAGCTCTACCCTTCCATACATCTGCCCACGATTTTACCCACACATCACCTACTCAGCAGTATTCATTGAGCATATATTTTGTTCTAGGTACTACCAAAGGCACTGGTGACACAGGAATGACTAAGACAGCCTCCTTACATTTATGACCTAGAGAGGGACGATAAACAAACATGTCCTCAAATAAATGCACAAATACAGTGTAGTGTATTACTTAATATGGCCTTTCTAACCGTAGTCTTTGTAACTCCCACCACATGACTGGGTGGGACTATGCAGATAAGGTGCTTGTGGCCCACCAGGGCGTTGAATAGCTTGCTAATAATGTAAATAAGGTGCATGGCACCCTTGTGAGAGTGGGACCATGCAAATAAAGCGTATGAAACCCTAACAAAGGGATTGGTCAGTTTTGCCATCCCCCAGGCTTAAAATAAGCCATCCCAGAGGCAGAAAAGGGGGAACCTCACCACCACCAAGAGGAAGAGATGGGAATGGAGCACATTCTTTGAACCTGGGATCCCTGCACTGGGAACCTCCTGAACCCAGGAGACAGAGAAAGAGAACTGTAACACTGGAGATGGCAAGATACAGTGAGAAGCAGCTGCAGAGAAATGACAGCAGCAGAGGCAGCAGAACCAGGAGACCAGCAGAAGATGGCTCAGTGGGCATCCCTATCCATGGAGTAAAAAAGCTGAGTGACTTCAGGCTGAGGCGAGGCTTGCTGGTGCAGTGGAGTGCCTCCAGGCACTTGGTGGAGATAGGCTCCCCGACCCAGGGAGTGAGAGAGCTGAGTACCTTTGGGCTGAGGCTTACTGGTGGAGTAGGATGCCTCTGGGCACTTACCTGTGGAACTAAAGAGCTTTGTAACACTTGCTGGAGCAGGGCAGAGCCAGAGAGAGACCTGCCTGTGGGTATGGTTGAGAAGAGGCTGTCCTGATTGAAGAACTGTATCCTGAGTCTTTTTCCTGATCCCAAATTGTAACCTGTTACTATCCCACAGACAATACTCACGATTCTGGGGATTATTAGGGAAGCTGTTGTTGTTAGGTGCCATCAAGTCGGTTCCAACTCGTAGCGACCCTGTGTACCACAGAGCGAAACACTGCCCAATCCTGCACCATGCTCAAAATCGTTGTTATGCTTGAGCCCATTCTTGGAAGAAGTACAACCAGAATGCTCTTTAGCAGGAAGGATGGCGAGACTACCTCTTACATACTTTGGACATGTTGTCAGGAGGGATCAGTCCCTGGAGAAGGACATCATGCTTGGTAAACTGGACGGTCAGCGAAAAAGAGGAAGACTCTCAACGAGATGGATTGACACAGTGACTGCAACAATGGGCTCAAGCCTAACAATGATTGTGAGCATGGCGCAGGACCGGGCAGTGTTTCGTTCTGTGGTGCATAGATAGGGTCCCTATGAGTCAGAACCGACTTGACAGCACCTAACAACAACAACAACTTCCCTAATAAACCCCCTAATCGTGAGTATTGTCTTTGAATTCTGTGTGTCCATTGCAATGAATTGTCGAACCCAGCAGAGAAGTAAAGAGTGCTGAGGGAGGGAGGGTTGGCGTCAGAATTGGTAAAAAGGTTGGGGAGATGAGGTGTGACTGACCTCACCTTCATAGGAGTCAGCCTGCTGAAAATGATTCTCTCTCCCCCTGATAAAGTTAGAGGAGGTCAGATGCCCCCACTTACATTCTTACAACAAGATACTCTGGGATTGTAATAAGTGGCATGGAGAAAACAAAACTGTGAGACCAGAGAGGATTGGGGTAGAATCAGGGAAGGCTGCTCTGAGTTGGTGCTGTTTGAGCTGATGCCTGAATAACAAGAAGGAACCAACCTTGAAAAGACGGGGGGGTACAGAGTGGTTCCATATGGGACTTCCAGAGTGCCTTCAGAATCCATTTCCAGGGGACAAGTAACTGTAGTAGGACTTTGCTTTCATGCTTTAACAAATGAATTTGGAGGTTGGTGGCAAGGGAATTCAGCTTTAAATATTTTTCAAGATTTCTTTTTAAAATGTAGCACATTGTCAATAGCACTTCTGTTTGTCAAATCCTCCTATTGCTCATTTACTTATTGAAATATTTTCCCATTAAAAGTTGTAAACAAAATGAACGTTTTAGAGATGATTCTAGTTTTAAAGAGCAAATTTTCTACCATCATAAATGATTGTTAACAGTTTTTTAAAAAAGGTAAAATCATGACATACAGTTATAAAAATGACAAATGTTAAAGACTGCACTAACTCAGTAATCAGTGAGGGAACTAGGCAAATATAACACGTTCAAAGGAGAAGTCAAAATAGCACAAGCTTATATGGCGTAAAGGAGTGTTAAAATGAATATACAAATGGAGGCAGAACTAGCTTCTTCTGTGATAGAGGAAGGAAGCCAGTTGCCCCCCTAGGGACAGGACGGCGGACCTGTCTGCACAACAGTTATTTCACGTTGCTGTCAGTGATCTGCAGTTTAGAGTTGTAAGGTAGCGCCCGTAGAATCAGAATCAAAGAGCCTGGAGGGGTGTCCTCTGCGCAGTTTTCCGCTGAAGTACAAAATTTCCCCTACGTAATTAAACCAAACCAAAATAAAATCACGACCCCTGCCCCTCCCCCCCCAAGATAAAAAAAGGTAGTTTCTACACATGTTGTCTTTGGCAGGGTAGTAGTTAAGAGCTACGGCTGCTAACCAAAAGGTCGGCCATTTGAATCCACCAGGCGCTCCCTGGAAACCCTGTGGGGCAGTTCTACTCTGGTCTGTAAGGTCACTATGAGTTGGAATCGACTTGATGGCAGTGAGTTTTTTTTTTTTTTTGGTGGGGGGGCTATATGCCTACTGGGAGTCCTGGTGGCGCAGTGGTTGAGAGTTCGGCTGCTAACAAAAAGGTTGGCAGTTCCAACCTACCAGCTGCTCCTTGGAAACCTCATGGGGCAGCTCTGCCCTGTCCTGTAGAGTTGCTGTGAGTTGGAATTGACTTGATGGCAACAGGCTTGGGTTTTTTTTTTCTTTTTTTATGCATGTTATATGCATTATTGGAGACCCTATAGTGCAGTTCTACTTGGTCCTATAGGGTTGCTATGAGTTGGAATTGACTTGACGGCAGAGGGTATATACATTATTTGTCAACTTATTCCATCCTCACAACAGTTTCATAAAGTAGGCAGTGGTGTTCCCGTTTTACAGATAAGAAAATTGAGGTTCAGAGAGGTTATATAGACACAGTTAGTAATGGCAGTTAGAATTTCAGCCTGTCCTTCTGACTCCAGACTGTACACACACACACACCCTCCATCACCGTGTCACACTTGCTAATAAGAAAAACAGTAAAAATGTTAAGTATTTTTTCTTCATCTTTAGGTCAGCATCAGCCAAGATAAGCCTCAACACTGGCCTGGAAGAATGTGCAGTGGCATTAAACTTATTTCTAAGTAACAAATTTTCAGATGCCTTAGAATTACTTCGTCCATGGTAATTAACTTTATTTCTTTTAGATAAAATATATTTTTGCAGATGTTTCTGATTATTCTGTCTTGTCATGTTTGTAAGTTAATTTATCGGCATTTCCATCTGAATATTTGTAAGCTAATTTGGTTGAGCCCTCTTACTGTTGGTCAGTTTTAACATCCAGTTTAGCAATCTGATTTTTCAAATTTAATCGGTCAGAATGTTCTAATTCTTGGTCATATCTCAATTTCAATTCTTACTTGTTCAAATATTGTCATTTTAAATAGTTTTGTAGGATTTGAATTTTGTTTTCTTCAGTATAAAATGTTTTTGTGGATGTTCCTTTTAAGCTTAAACATAGTTGGAAAACAGTTTCCTTCTTTGAAATGGAGAGGGGTCTAACTAGAATACGCTAATCTCAAATGCAAAAATGGTGATAAAATAGCCCATAGCCTAAGGAAATTGTCCAGTGTTGTCTCCAAACTCATCTCAAAATCTCTGCTACACGGTGTCTCACCTCTCCCTTGTCTGGCTCCTGCTCTTCCCCTGTATTCTCAGTCCCTCAGACACCTTTCTCTCTGCCTCACTCGCTTCCTGTCTCTTTTACTCTCCCTCTGCCTGTTCCCTCTGCCTGCCTGCCTGTCTGTTTCCTTCTATTTTTTATTCTCCCTTTATTTCTCTGCCACTGAAACCCAGCTGATCGTAATATAAAAAGAAAATAAATTATTTAGTATTGTACTTAGACAAGTTTTATATTCTCTGATCTTCGTGCACGTTTCACTGTTTAGAAGAGCTTTCAGGTAAAAATGTGGGCTTTGAAACCACACTTAATAATTAACATTGGTCTGCCCTTATTCCTTGTGGTTCTTCTGAACAGGCAGTGAGTGCCCTCTTTGTTTAGGACAAGCTTTAAATTACCAAAGGACATTTAGACTGTTCCCATGGAGGAAAAGAATATCGTGACTTGGGTTTGTTTTAAATAACAGCAGGCTGTGCATTAATATTTGAATTAAAAACAAAACCATGCACAAATATTTTAAAACTTATAAACAATCAATTAACAGAACTTAAGTTTTGAGACAAGAGGTGGTAAGCTTTTCACAGCCTGAGAATCTGAGACTAGTTAACGTCCTTAAGAATTGAAGCAATTCTCACTGATAACTTGATAATTTAGATTATCATGAACTTTCATCAGAAATCACAGATAATGGATTTCATAGTGTTTACAGATTAGATACGAAGTCTAGGGTATACTTTTGTCGGGGCCTTCTGTGGCCAACCTAACTTACTGTAGAAATCTTGCTTCCTCTTGGCCTTCTGCAAGAGAGGGGAAGTGATGATTTTAATCAAGTCTTTATTTTTCAAAAAACATATCAGAATTTCTCTGTCATGAAATACATTTACAGTGGCCTTTATCTTAGCTCATATTTCAGAGCTGAAGACAGTGCATGGCCCTTTGTTCAATAAGAGAGAAGGTGACCATCTGGGAAAAATTGGTTTGGTTTAAAATCCCATTCTAGGAAATGAATCCACAGGGTGCCCCCTTGTGCTAAAACAGGGAAAAGCATGTCTCCTCCTCCAACTTGGAACATTTTGTTCGCTGGTGTGGGTTTAAATTGGAAAACCCTCCGTACTTTTTTTAGAGCATGCCTTTCACAGTCCATGTCATTTCAGTGATTATGGTGAAGGAGTAAGTGTTTTTACCTTGAAAGTCATGACATGTATTTACTAGGGTTTCTTGTGATTAGTATCAGAAAAGACCTTCAGTCAGCTTGTAATATACTAATTTCCTGTGTTTTCCCCCAGGGCAAAGGACAGCATGTACCATGCGTTGGGCTACAGCACCATTGTGGTGTTGCAAGCTGTTATGACCTTTGAGCAGCAAGATATCCAAAACGGCATTTCCGCCATGAAGGACGCTTTACAAACCTGCCAAAGGTATGACTGAGTAATTACTTGAGGTAGGACTTCAAACCTTGACATCCGTGTGACTGAAATGCTATTTGCCTGACTGAGAGCTCTGCATTTGAACTTGGCCACACTTATAGAAAAGGACTTCTGCTTCAAAGTTTCTTGGCTTCGTGTAGTTTTATGTAATGGCTTTAAAAATTTCTATTAGGGGGCTGAGAGCTCTGGAGACCACGGTCCTGGGCAACATCTAGCTCAATTGGCATAGCATAGTTTATAAAGAAAATGTTCTACATTCTACTTTGGTGAGTAGCATCTGGGATCTTAAAAGCTTGTGAGCAGCCATCTAAGATTCTCCACTGGTCTCACCCCATCTGGAGCAAGGGAGAAAGAAGAAAACCAAAGACACAAGGGAAAGATGAGTCCAAAGGACTAATGGACCACAACTACCATAGCCTCTACTAGACTGAGTCCAGCACAACTAGATGGTGCCCAGCTACCACCACCAACTGTTCTGACAGGGATCACAATAGAGGGTCCTGGACAGAGCCAGAAAAAAATGTAGTACAAAATTCTAACTCACAAAAAAAAAAAAGAAGTACTAGACTTACTGGTCTGACAGAGACTGGAGAAACCCTGACAGTATGGCTCCTGGATACCCTTACAGCTCAGTAATAAGTTACTCCTGATGTTGACTCTTCAGCCAAAGATTAGACAGGCCCATAAAACCAAACGAGACTAAATGGGTACACCGACCCAGGGACAAGAATGAGAAGGCAGGAAGAGACAGGAAAGATGGTAATGAGGAAACCAAGGTCGAGAAGGGGAGAGTGTTGACATGTCGTGGGGTTGGCAACCAGTATCACAAAACAATATGTGTATTAGTCGTTTAATAAGAAAATTGTTTGCTCTATAAACCTTCATCTAAAGTACAAAAAAAAAGTTAAAAAAAAAATTTCTATTAGGAATAATAGTATGACTCCTATTTGGCCAAACACTTGGCAGCTGTATACCTTCCACTTTTCTTTTTGATAACTTGGGGCCTGAGCTACAGAGATGGTCTGAGGGGAGATTTCAGCTCCCCTAAGAAAGGAGCATTCTTGTTTTATGTGGGAAAGGAATGTTATGTTTGCTTAAAAAAGGACATATTTGAACACTTTTGGTTGGTGAAAATGAGATGGATTTTCAGTTTTATTTTAAGCTTTCTTTGCTGTGTGTCTAAGAAGACCCTCAGCGAAAGCTATTATTATCATGGGTGAATTTTAACACTGGTGAAATTAGATCCTCATGTAATTATGTTGCAAGCCCCTCAGATGAAGAGAGTTCTCAGATTTTGTACTTTCATCTCTATTCTTAATCTGTGGAGACTCTTACCACAGAAATATTGGTTTTAACCACATAGATGAGAAAAAGTTCTTTGAAGGCTTGGTATCCACTGGTTTGCATGGGTTTGCCCACTCACTTACTTGTTCAGTAAACGTGGGCTGAGTGCCCTCAGGGGACCAGCCCAGTGCTGGGAGCTAGGTGTGAAGGCTCAGAAGGGTGGTCTTTACTCAGTAGACTTTAGGGTTTAGATTTCTGATTTGGTGATTCTTTGGTGTGATTGTGACTGAAATGAGTATCAAACGAAAAGGCGCTCGGCCTGATGGATTATTATTTTTTCTATTTCCCATGTCCCCTTCTACTTATTCAATGCAGATACAGGAAAAAGAGCACTGTTGTAGAATCTTTTTCAAGTCTTCTTTCCAGAGGATCATTGGAACAGCTGACTGAAGGTAAGAGTCATTTGAAAAGTTAATTTATTCCTTTCTTTAAAAAATTAAAAGGTGATAATGCTCATAAAATTCAATACCAAGATGTCTAAAGTAAATGGAATGTCTTTTTCCCTTGCCCACCATACTCACTCTCCAGAAGTAACCATTGTTAATAGTTGGTTTGGAAGTCTTGAAGATTTCCTGTGTCCATAAACAAATATATACATAAGCTGCACACGTTTTTCGTGTTGTTCATGTATTTTGTGTTTTGCAAGCATAGAATCACACTATACATCTTGTTCTACAATGTGATTTTTGACTTTGATGTTTCCTCAGGTCAATACATGTAAATGTACAGCTATATCGTATTACGTAGGATGGGTGTACTGTCATTGACTTACATTTTCTTTATTGAAGGATGGTTACATTGTTTTTATCTTTTCACTATTACAAATAATGCTGTCCTAAAATCCTTGTGCCTATATCTTCCTGAATTTTTGCAAGTATTTCATGGGATAGATTCCTGAAACTGAGGTTATGGGGTCTGCAGGTTTGAAAATTTAAAATATTTACGGCTACTGCCAATTTTTTCTCCAAAGAGTTAGGTCGGTTTGTATCTTACCATTTATGTGTGAGAGTTTCTATTTTCCAGACTATATTAAAAGTTTTTTTCCCAAGGTAAAAGTAATTTTATACTTCTGAAGAAAGTGATAATATTTCACAGTATGGAAGATATTTGGTTTGTGGACCTTTAGGAATATTCAAGAATCCAGGAATGGCAACAGCATCCTGATCAGACGAATGGGAGGAAATGACTCCTTTTGTTGTCCCCACTGAGATTAGGGTAGAAGTTCCACGATCAATTGTTTTATGAGTGTTAAACTCTAGTCAGAGTGGTTTACAAGTGAGAAAGGAGCATTCAGATAATCCTGTGGAAGAGGAAATGTGTTCTTTAAATGTGACTATTGTAGAACACAGCTTCTGTCATCCAAAGAGAACTTGTGCCTGTGTTGTCATTGTCAGACTTATCCTCTGGAAGCGATAACACACCATACTAGAAGTAGTTGTGGCTGGTTCAGCTAGGAGCAATTCTGGATACTGCTGTCAGAGTCATTCCTAGTGGACAGGTATATGTCGGGCACATTTTTAATGTGTTTTATGATTATGTTTTGTGTATTTTGTTAGAAGAGTGCCATCAGCTTGTGTTGACATTGGGTAGGAACATTTGCATGATGTGAGGTTTCAAGTGTTGATCACAGGAGAGGATTATGAGACATGCTCACATCTTTGGGACTTGTTCCAAAACGGTACGATGTTGACCCTGGAACCATTGTAGAACAGAATGACATTTTGTTTGTCACTCCAGGCAGCTGAAGCCCTTCTTTTTCTCTAGAAACTGACCTCTAAGAACCCATAAGCATTGATTTATCCCATTGATTTCAGATAGAATATGTCTTCATACTTTCTATCTTTGGGCCATTTATGCAAACTGACACCAGTAGGCCTAAAGTACATTAAAGTGGGTCGATGGGAAATTAAATAGGCCCAAAAGGAATTTGACTCTTTCCTTTGTGTTTTCCTTTCTGTTACCCTCTTTGTGACTTTTTTCCAATGCCTCTTTCCTCCTCCCTTGCCCAATGCCTTGCCCCCACGCCTGCCTTTTCTTTGCAGTATGAAGGCTGACATTTGAGATTTTTTTTAACCTTAGTTTTGGGAAGGATGACATGATGTTTTTGTTGTGAGTGTGAATAATAATAATAGTGGTAATGCCTATTTTTTAAAAAAAGCACTCTATATGCCAGAAACTGCCTTTGGTGCTTTCCTTAACATTATCTAATCTACTTCATGTCAGTTCCTCTTTATAGACTAGGAACTGATGTTCAGAGAGATTATATAAATAGCCCAACTGTCAGAGCAGGCTTCAGACCTCATCTGCCTGTCTCTGAGCCATAGCTCTTTCCACTGTACCCCACATTCATTCGTGTAGGCAGGTAGAAAAGGGCGCAGAACATGTCATATGTAGGTGAGGGAAGTGTTGGATTATTCCTGTGTTAGACATCTTGAAAATAGATGACATTGTGTTCTTTATGAAATGTCTTTGGAGAATGGCACATTATAAAATCTGAAAAAAGGCAGAAAATGACTATTTACCAGTTATTAAAGAACAAAATAGCTTGTGGAGGCTTAATGAATCCACAAAACAATTGCCCTGAGATAATCTTTAAACCTTCAACCAAAAATATCCCCTGAAGTCTTAAAACAAAACAGTAGTTTAGCTTAACTAGTAAAGAATATCTGCTTTGAGCGTTGTGTTCTTTTAAGATCTATCTACATGGGATCAAATTGGCAGTAGCAACTTGAAAGATTAGATAGGAACCTTAGGGGGCAGTGAGTTTATCTTAATGGAGGAGGAACAGCTCAGAAAAGGAGGGTGAAAATGATTACACAGCTCAAAGAATGTAATGAATGTCACTGGATTGTACATGTAGAAATTGTTGAATTGGTATATGTTCTGCTGTATATATTCTCAACAACAACAACAAATACAAAATAAAATAGCTTGTGACTGTAGCCTATTCTGAAATATAGATTTACTTGGACTTTTATATCTAAAGGCCATGTGTTAGCTAACATTTCAGTGTATCATGAAGATATTTCCTTAAGTGGACTAAGGAATTTATGAATAACAGATATTCTGATTGGTACCTACTCATAAATGCTTAATGGCTGATTTTGAGAACTAAGAACTGCCCAATATAACTCAACCCAAGTGAAGAAATAAGACTTTTATAAATTAAGTTGCATATTATTCCTAGTGAGTTTGGCTGTCACTGCAACCCAAACAGACTTTGTGTTCAAGGGAGCATGTCAAAACATTGTAGCTTGAGTATGTGATTTGTTTTTCCTCTTGGTAATTTCCATTTACATCCATGAGTGGCTGGTTGTCTGCAGGAGGGACTATATTTAATTAAACTTTTCATAAGTTTAACATGGAACACACCCGCTCTTCTTTCATGGCTGGCGTGCTGCCCTGAATGGGTTTCAAATTGCTTTTTAAAAGCAGATTTTTATATGCAGCGTCTAGAGTGTGAAAGGGATTTAATATGAAGAATATATATATTAAATATAGAGTTCAAACTTTCTTGCTTTTTATCTCTGCCTTTTCATTATATCCTTTATGCAGCTCTTAGATTTGTACATCTTTAGCTTAACTCTTGCCCATCCACCCTACTGGTCAGTTCTCTGCAAGGACTCACCATTGCCTCTGAATCAAGCTGAGACTCTGACATTCAAGGTCATCCATAATTTAGCCCTGACTTAGCTTTCCAGCCCCATTGCCAACTCCTCCCATTACACACCTTATGCTTCAGCCAAAGGTGGACCACTGGCCCTTCTCTGAAGGTGCTCTGTGCTTTCCTTCCTCCGTGCCTTCGCTCGTGCTGGTCCCTCTACCAGCATTGACTTCGTCCCCCTCTGCGCATGCCTTACGTCAGCAATCTATGTTAACTGAGTAGACATTCAAAGTTACTAGCTTCTAACAATTTCCAGTTTTACTGAAAATTTACCTAGGAAGAGAGTATTCAGGTGACTCTGTAAAAATAAAAGTTACCAGTTTTTATCCCACTGAACACACTGAGAAAATCAGAGGGACACTTTGAAATGGAGTGTTCCTAAGGACTGAGACCCTGGCTGTTGCTGCTTCTACAGTGCACACAGGCCATAATTCCTCAAGGCTTACCTGTCATGGGTTTGGCTCCACCTGTAAATGGGCTGCTAGGGATTTTAGCTGCATAGTTGCTTCTTTGTAAACTAAACATTTGGAATATGAGCATGGCAGGAAGTTGAACCCATTTATGGGACCCAGTGGGTTTTGTGTGTATGTGTTGGGGAGGAGGGTCTCTTGTTTGTGAGTGAAAGAAATAAAGCACTAGTCTTACCAGTTTAATTCAACAGCATCCCCAATAACACAGAAATACCTGATTTTTCAGTCCCTGACTTCACATGAAAATGTTCTGCTTTCTAAACTTGTACCAAAAAGCATGACATGAACCCTCAGCATGAATATTAGTGGAAGTAGCTCATATTTATCCAGTGCTGACTGTGAATAGTGAGCTCTACGTGCAGCCCCTCACTAAATGCTTTAGCTGTGAAATAGATACCTTGTTAGCCACTTTATAAATGAGAAGACCAGCAGAGAGAGACCGGGTGGCTTGTGCAAGGTCCTCCAGCTCACGTATGGTAGAGGCTGTCCTCCAACCCAGCCTGTTAAACACCGTAAGCTCATTTACTTAAGCAACTTAACAATTTGCATCTTATGAATAAAGCAGGAATCTGCTGATCTTGTTTATGCGAAAAAAGCCAAGATTTTTCTCCCCGGTCTCTGCAAGTTCAGTGGATTGTTTAGGAAGACAGGCCATGTGTTTCGGGACACTCCACGTGACGTTGGGATATACAGAGCTTTATGTAACCCCTTTTGTTCTTGTGATAAATATCTAAACAATCAGTCTAGTTTAAAGCTGTGATATTATGTTTCTACATTGTCTTCTATGCGTGAGGAGTCATGACTTGGGTATGTGGGGCAACCCTTTTGACAGAACTCTAGGGAATTGCTGCTTTCTCTTCAAGTTTATAATGTGTCTAGTCATTATCATGATTGTCATACCTTCATATTTTGGAGGCTGGGATTTACAAATTTAATTTAGTTTTTTTTTCAAATCTTTATAATTGTGTTAAACTTGCATGTTATTGTTAAGTTAAAAAAAATAATAAATGGTTTCCTAAAAAAAAAACAGTGTTTTTAAATTTCGATTTCCTCTTGGGAGTTGAGTTTGTGTCTCTGACACCAAGTGCCTGGCTCTTTGCACCTATATTTGAATGAGACCATTCCCTGAACATTCCAGGAAGATCTTGTTGAGAGATCGATGCTGAGGTTTTCATTTTACTTTTATGGAAGCACCAAAGTGATCTAGGTTTTTATATCTCTCTTGAGCTCATTTATCTACCAGTCTTTTCTGAGCATCTCAGAGCAATTACTGTGGACATGGGATTTTCTTTAATATAATTTTATTTGTTTTTAATAGAGGAAATGCATGCCGAAATCTGTTATGCCGAGTGTCTCCTGCAGAAAGCAGCACTCACGTTTGTGCAGGTAATGAACGCTTGGCTTAGAATTGGTATTGGCTGGGAAGACCGCCAGTGCTGCAGAGAGAAACATGACTCATTCTATGCCAGTGCTTCAGTTCTTCTGACTTAGAGATACAGTGAAAGATATTTGTTAGTCTAATAGACTTTGGCTGAGAAAAGACTCCAGGAAGTTTAGTCCTGCTCAAATGCACTGAGAGTCTGTTTTGACCTTCAGTCAGTCTACTAGAAATCACCGCCTTTAAAGAAACTGTCTTGCAACTGGCACACCTAACTTCGTGATCCTTCTCTGTGTGAAAGCTCTTTGAGCTTGCTAATGGTGGAGTGCTGCACACAGGAGTGGCCAGGGCAAAGGAGGCTTCCTTCGTCCTTCCTTCGTCCTTGGCCAGCCCTGCCTTGCCCCAGATGCTTCAGTAGAGCTCAGTTATGCATGCAGAGATAGCCAAACTTTTCATGCTACTTCAGATTTTAGTTTTCCCCTCTTTCTCTCCTCATTTCCCTTTCTTTATTTCTTCTTCTGGAAGAGCAGTTTTTAAAAGTTCCTGAACAAAACAATGACCCTTTTCTTATCTGACATTTTCATTTCACCTTTAGGAACTGTTACAATCAGTACCTCATCTATCACTGTATCTTCCAATAGGTCTAACAAACAGATTTCTCCATCATGGTCTCGCTGGAGGCAGTGATAGGTACAGTAAAGTAGAGGTGGGTGGAGATTAGAAGGAGGCAGAAATTAATTTGTACGTTGGAAAAAATATCTTCCTCAATCCCAATCTTTTAAACTGTTTTGAGAGCTGCATCTTTCTTTTTTCTGGAAGTTGACCTCTTAAATTGGATTCTGACTTAGTAAAATTTAATCAGTGAGGTCCATGACCCTGTTTTTAAAACTCTATACATTCTGAAGGCTGGTTGAAAACAACCATCCTACTGCCTCAGTAAAGATCATAATGCTAGTCGCAGAGGCGCAGAATCTACACGGGGATTTGGAAATCAAATCTGGGATTTGAAGGCATATTTTATATTTCAGATTTGAAATTAAACATCTGGGAGATAGCCCTGACATGACTCTTCCCTCTTCTTCCAGCCTGCATAACCAGTTTTTCAGTCATGCTTCTTTTGCCTTTTATGGATTTAGCAGCTCCGTCTCTTCGTCCTGGCTACCATTGTTGGAGTAGAGTTGCTGATCACCTCTTTCCAAGACTACACAGCAACCTAGTGACCTTCTATCTCTAAGCGCTCTCACCTCCAGCCCATTCTCTATTCTGCAATTGCGCACCCTCTCCAAAATGAGAGTCTCACCATGTCATGTCTCTGCGTCGGCAGTTAGCGACCCTCACTGAGGACGACAGTGGTTCTGTGTCAGAATATCAGACATAGGAGAGGCTTTTTCAGACTCAGCTGGTATCTCCCCACCAGGTTCTCTCCTCCCTCCTCTTGCTGATGCCCTCAGGTGGTACTGACAAGGGTATGTTACATACTTGAGTGGCCGGGGTAGAAGTAGCTTTCTTACTCCTGGGTCATTACCTTCTTTGCAGTAGATTCCTCAGCACTGCCGAGTCACGTATACACAGATGGCCAAACACACCATGATCTTTATTGCTTCCCGGCCTTTCTACACCTGAGTTTTCCTTTACATAGTTCACATCTGTTTACAAAGTTCACGTCTGCTTTGCCTTCCTTTACCTGGCCTTTCCTAATCATCTTTTATGCTGTAAGTACTGATGCTTCCAGAAGACTCTTCTGGCCCTCTCCATGCCCTCCTCTTTGCTCTCGTGACATTCTGTGCATGTCTCCATCCCCGTGCCTGCCTTCATCCCACAGCACATTGTATTGCTTTCATCTGTTTTTGCATTTGGGTGCCTGATGTGCAATAGGCATTCAGCAAACGTTTGATGAATCATGAATTGAAGTTCCCCTATTTGAAGCAGATTTTAATGAAATTTAAGAAATGCTTTCCTGGCAGGTATTTGTGTAATCATAATTTTCCTAAAAACATTTAAGTTGTATAGTGAATTTTTTATTCATTGATTCTTATAATTGAAATGTTATATATTTAAGTAATTAATGAAGTTAATAAACTAAAACCAGTTTTTTCTTTTGCTTCAGAAGGATGCTTAAGTGCACAGGAACTAAATGCCAGAGCATCTTTCTAACATCAATAGACTGGAAATGTGAGACACGGGACCGTCTCCATTGGCACATTTATTAGAGTAGCTTCTTGCAAGTGGTTATTTGATATAATTTATTAGAAGGCTTTCTTGGAATCTCAAAATGCCTGACCCTGAAATGGTACTCATCTAGGTCAGCTGCCTCAATTTTATGGTGGCTGACCATCAGGCAAAGAGAAATGAAGCATTTTTTTTCCTAAAACGAAATAGGAGATTAGTGACAGAGCCAGTTTGGAATCCAGATCGGTTATGTTTGGTCTGGAAGTGTGTATGAATTAAATTCACAGTGTTAAATGGATTCTGCCTGCTAAAGTGCCCTGTGAAACAAGAACTATGGTCCCATTTATTGGAGTATGATGAACTGGAAAGTTTGGCCTTAGAGTTTATCCTTGAGGTCACCAATTTGGATTCTGCTGAACTCAGAAGAAAAGAGTTCAATAGTTGATGATGTTTATTAAACTAGGTTTAGACTAACCTATGTGGCTTCTAATTGATGAAGATTACTTCCTTGATAGTATAATGTAATTCAAGGATTATTAAAGTGATCTCTTTTTGTTGTCCTCTAATTTGGAAGAAAAATTACCAAAAAAAGTAAATCAAATGTAAAGCAAGAATGTGCTAATTCTAAAATTCTGCCTTCAGAGATAGTGTTTTGTTCTAATCACACAAACACACAGCTGGTGAGGACAGTTTAAGAATTTTTGCTAAATTATCTAATTATTTAATTGAATTATTTTCAGGATGAAAATATGATCAGCTTCATCAAAGGCGGACTCAAAATTAGAACAAGTTACCAAATATATAAGTAAGTTAAAAATTAAGATGTGGTTTTTAAATGATTCTTGTGCTGTGTACCACTTTGTATTTCAAAATTCTCATAAACTAAATATGGCTAGGTGTTTGTTTTTGTTTTTAAATTTGGTGTTGGTAAAAATGCACTTGATTTTTGGCTTACTGAATATGTATTCAATGCCATAGGACAATAGAATTTAAGTGTAGATAGCATTTTAAAAGCAAAATAGCTGAAAAGAAAGCTACTGACTTAATATCTAATTAGATAGTCTTCTCTTTCCTAAAAACAATATATAAATTGAAAACGACAGATGTGTCTTTGGTCTAGACTTTATAGCAGTGCTGCCCAATAGAGCTTTCTGCAGTGATGGAAGTGTTCTGTATTTGTGGTGTCCAGCACATTATTCTGTTGTTGTTGTGTGTATGTTTAATTAAGGTGGACCACAGTGTTGTTCATAGCCTTACTGATTTTTTTATCTAGTTCTAGCAGTTGTTCAGGTTGTTGAAATCTCCAACCTTGATTATGGAGTCATCTTTTTCTCCCTTTAGTTCTGCTGGTTTTTGCTTAGTATATTTTGAACCTCTGTCATTAGGCTCACTATATTTATAATTGGTTTGTCTTCCTGATGAGTTTACCCTTTGATAATTATGAAATGTCCCTATTTAACTCTGGTAATATTCCTTGTCTTGAAATCTATTTTGTCTAATTTTAATATAGGTATTCATGCTTTTTTGTAATTGGTGTTTACATGACTTATAGTCTTTTATTTTAAATCTATCTTTTGTTTTTATATTTAAGTTGTATTTCTTATAGATGCGCATAGTTGGGTCTTGCTTTTTTATCCAGTATGACAATTGGTATGTTTGCATTTATGACTTCTGTTTTGCTTTTCCTTTGTGCCTCATCCATTCCCTCCCCTCTTTTCCTGCCTTCTTTTAGTTTAATTAAAAAAAAAAAAAAAAGTTCCAGTGTAATCCCTCTGTTTAGCTTCTTAGCTATATATCTCTTTAAATTTTTTTAAAATTAAGAACAATTTTTTTAAGTGTTGCTCTAGTGATTACAATGTTTCTTAAACTTACCATAGTCTCCAGAGTTAGTATTATACCACTGAACATAAAATATAAGAACTTTGCAAAAGTGTAGTTTTGTTTACCACCTGTTGTCCTTTGTCCAGTTTTTATGATATATAGTACACCTGCTTATATTATGGGGCCCTGATGGTGCAGTAGTTAAGCATTTGGCTGCTGATCAAAAGGTCAGCAGTTCAAATCTACCAGTTACTCCTTGGATACCCTATGAGGCAGTTCTACCCTGTCCTGTAGGGTTGCTATGAGTCGGAATGGACTTGATGGCAATGGGTTTGGGTTTTTTTTGTTTTTTTTTTTTAAATATATATTATAAACCCCATATTACAGTGTCTAACTTTTACTTATGTTATAGTCTTCTCTACTTACCCATGTATCTACCACTTTTGATATTCTTCATTCATTCCTATTTAGTTTCAGACTGAAGAACTTTGCTTAGCTTTTTTTTTTTTTTTTTTTTGTAGTGAATGTCTGCTGTCAGTAAAGTCTCTGTTTTCATTTATATGAATGCCTTTGCTTTTGCCTTCATTTTTGAAGGATATTTTTGCTCAGTGTAGTGTTCTAGGTTGAATTTTTTTTTTCTTTTTCAGCCTTTGAAGCTATCATTTCATTATGTTACAGCCTCCATTGTTTCTGATCACAAGCAAACTATCATTTCTATTATTGCCACCCCCCCATATGTAATGTGTCATTTCTTCTGACAACTCTGAGGACTATTTTGTATCTTTGCTTTTTAGCAGTTTGACTATGATGTGCTTAAATACGGCCTTGTGAAATTTGTGGCCAGTATTTCTCCGGATATTCTTTTTCTACCCACATTCTCACTCTTTCCTCTCCTTCTGGGATTCCAATTATTATTATTTTTTCCCATACAAAGATTTATACATACATTGTTACGTGACTCTAATTGCTCTCCCCATACTGTGACAGCACACTCCTCCTTTCCACCCCTGATTCCCCACATCCATTCAGCCACCTCCTAACCGTCTCTGCCTTCCCATCTCACCTCTGGACAGAAGCTGCCTGTTTAATCTCTTGTATCTACTTGAGCTAAGAGGCACAGTCCTCACGAGTACTGCTTTATGTCCCACAGTCCAGGCCAATCCCTGTCTGAAGAATTGGCCTTGGAAATTGTTCCAGTTCTGGGCTGATAGAGAATCCAGGGGCAATGCTATACAGGGTTCCTCCAGTTTCAGCCCATTAAGTCTGGTCTTCTTACTAGAATTTGAGTTCTGCACCCCACCTTTCTCCTGCTCCATCTGGGACTCTCTGTTGTGTTCCCTGTCAGAGTGGTCATTGGTGGTGGCTGGGCACCATCTAGTTCTTCTGGTCTCAAGCTGATGAAGTCTCTGGTTTATGTGGCCCTTTCTGTCTCTTGGGCTAATACTTTCCTTGTGTCTTTGGTGTTCTTCATTCTCCTTTACT